ACTGCAGATGCTCCCTGGCAAAAGGTGTTTGTGCCCAAAAGCTTGCAAGAAAAAAATTTTTCCAACCATTTGTGTTGGTCTAATAAAAGATATCAGATTCACCCAAAGAACCTTGACTGCCATTTAAGTCACAACATTCATAAGAATAAATGTGGCATAAGGGTCAAATATTTGCCCTTTTCTTGTTTTTTCTCTTTTAACAATGTCTGAGTGATCACTTGAATCCTCTGCTTCTGTTAATTTCATAGGTAGTTCCCATTTTCATATTTAAGGCCTGAAATGGACAAAAGAAATGAGAGGATTAAGTGCAGCATTTGAACCAAAGAGTAAAAAATGGCATGTATTGGGTAAATATTGTGACTTTCACACTTGTTGGCTATGCTTATTTTGAAAGGGACATCATCCAGATATAACATATTAAATTACAGTGTAATAGGTGGCTGAACTATATACAGTTTTCTTTAGTAGTTAAAAAAACGTAAACATGCTTGTTAAAGAAATTCTTTTTTTTTTTTAAAGCTTTGTTTGATGAGTGGGGAAATCATCCAGATGTCTCCTCAGATGAGTCTCATCTTTGAAACAATGGACCTGTCTCAGGCTTCAGTAAGTCCGTAAATGAAATTATGTATTAAATCCCATTAATCAACACAGGAGTGTTGACTCAACACAGGAGTGCACTGAGTTTCAAGTGCCATTTTTGGGGGGAGTGGGGGTGGGGTGGAGTTAACATCTGCAAGCAGCCATAATGATTAAAGCATTGGATCTTTAAAATTTCTCTTTTAGCCAGCTACAGTCAGTCGTTGTGGTATGATTTATTTGGAGCCTTCACAGCTAGGCTGGATGCCACTGGTAACTTCTTGGTTGAGCAAACTACCAGAACCCCTGAATGAAAAGGAATATCAAGATCTTTTGCTTGGACTTTTTAACTGGTTAGTTCCAGCAGCCTTAAGAGTTCATCAAAAACAGTGCAAGGTATTTCTTGTCATTTTTCATTTTTCCTTTTTAGTTATGTCAAGTGGTTAGTTTTTAGGCACTAAAGGAGGGAAAACTATTTTCTACTAAAAATTAAAGAAAGTAATGTATACTTTCCATTCCATCTTTTGTTTACAGCCATATGCAACTTAATTACTGTATTTTTGCGCATATATCCTGCATCCATGTATAACCCATGGAAAATTGTATTTTCATAAAATAGTCCATGTGTTCCCCGCACCCATGTATTCTCCGTACCCCGAGACATG